GAACTGCATTATATGAGTCTACACTGCCATATAATCCAGTTCAATGCATTATATGGCAGTGTTGATGGGGGCCAGAGCTGTGAGATGGATCACTGATCTACATGAGACTTCCTATAGAGTTGGCCTGATAGAATGAGGCAACTTCCTCATATGAGAGATGATAGAGGCAAAAAACTAAGGTTCCTCTGCTTGCGCCTGTCAGCCATTCAAAGTTGGATTAAGGCTTTTAGAAACCCAAAGCACTTAAAATATATATCTAATTCAAAATATAAACAAATAATAAACTGTAAAATAACTCCTCTGCCATCTCTACATTGGAGAAAAAAATGTTGCTAAATACCCTTACCTCTCATCAAAATGAATGCAGGGTTTAAAAGACTAATGGTTCGATTATTCCAGAAATGTCCTGTTGGAATAGATTGTACCCAAAGAGCCCCATAAGTGATGGTAGTACTAAACCTGAAAGGGCAACTATAGGGGATGGTTGCTTCAGCCATAAGGATGAAAGAGGAGGAGAAAGAGTTAATTTTTTATAGCTTCAGAAGTCATCCGCCACTGAGTTCTTCATTATTGCATGAAGTGACACTTGCATCATCATCTGTGTGATTAGGAGATCAACCTATCCAACAAAAACACCCCTTAAATATATACCTATCAACAACAAAAAAGCCACATGATAAATTACTCCCACACCATGTTAATCTTTCTCAGTGGGAGAGTCTTGGACCACTACTAACACCAGAACAGAAGGAACGATGCACTTGATACAAGCAGCATCAGCTGCAAAGAAAGGGCACATCTTTATAATAACGCCCCAAGGGTGAAAATTGGTCAACTGGTGTCATCATTAATCTTGTAGTGCAGTCTAAAATGGCACAGTCATTTAGTCCAAGAAAACCTTGCTTAACAGCCAGAGTACATATTTGATTTTGATCCAGTGACAAATGTGTTTTGAAGGCTTCCTGGCTGGCCAATGACATATTAGATCATGTCTGTAAGGCAAGATTTACTATAAGAATAGTCAAGTAAGAGTTCACAGTATTCCTCCTCATTCCAATTTCTTTCTAGGAGTTGAAACAAAATATATAGACCTTTTAAAACAAAACTGTGAATCAATTGACGGCTGCTGCTGAAGATAGGATAAAAATATGTATTATTTAGTTTATATTTTATTGAATTTTCCCCATTTTAGGCACAGTATGTACAACTAGCAGAATCAACAATGAAAATGTTTTTATATTTATAACATTTACTAGGAATAATAAGATTCAAACAGAGTTAGGATTGATTAAGTAAATATTTGATAATGTAAACACTCAAATTTTTGTCCAGATTTCTGCCACATTTCATGCAGTTCTCATTTAAACATGGATGAGCCACAATAATTCTATTTCTTCTAGTGAAAATATTTCTGTCTTTTCTTTTCCCATACATTAGATTATTTAATTATAAATTAAATCTCTTCACTTTCCTAGATGCTCACAAAAAGATACACACAACAAAACGAATCTTTCAAAAATGGTGCTAGTGAGTTCTGTACCATGATGGAAACAAAGTGCTGGATGCAGCTGACAATGCCTGGAGCAACACAGTTAGATTCAAAACAGCTAGATGTATGCATTCCACAGGGTAGATGCAGTCTGGTAGTTGGTTCTAATTATATTATATTAATTAAAGGTTATAAAGACTGAAGGTGGTAGTAGCCATTTTGAGAATGGCACTGGTTAACCCGGAGCACAGATGGGAAAAGTATATCAAGGTGCCGGGAGGGGGGTACATGGAAGAGTTGTGAAGTTTTATTGCTATCAGACAACCACGACCACTTCTTGTATGTTTCTGGATAAAGGATGCTTAGCCTGTATTGAGAACCCGTGACTGCAAACATCGTGATCTTCATAATGAGTCACTAGAATATATTCAAAAGTCACAAAAGTTTTGAGTATAAGCTATATCACCTCGTAGTACTAATGGGGTCAATTCCCTACACAAGAATATTGCTGATGCAGTGTCCTTTCCAACTGACATTCTTCTCCAAATAACCATGTTACTATTTAAAGTGGAATTAATAGGAGGTGGAGGAGGAAAAAGAGGAGGAGGGCAGCGGTTCTCAGTCACCTCATAGATTACCCACCAAAAAGTCTTGGGAATTCTTCACTCAGAGACACTGAATACCACTCTCTGCCTTTCACTGGAAACAAATGGCCCTCTAAAAGTGTGGTTGCCTGCCCTTTGGCCACATCTCATAATGTGGGATGGCATGATATAAAATATACATAAGACATTTCACCACAGTGTCAACCTATGTAGCATATCCTGTGGTGTTGGGTGGGCAGCGGGGAAGAAAATGCGTCCGTAAACAGGAGCAAAAGTATCCTGCTACTGAACAAGTCATTCACTGTAGTTTATAACACTGCTTTAGCTGAAATATTTACTTTTTGTGGGTTGCTAAGCATGGGTGCACAAAACTTGTGGAAATCATAAAATGCATTTGGGGAGCACTTTGAGCGATTGCATGGATAAGCAGTTTTCAGTAGCAAAAACTGAAACTAATTCTGTTAGCTTTAATAAAACCATCTGTTATAGTAACCACCACTCTGTGGACTGAGCTGTAGATTTCTTTTTACATGCTTTCCAAATTTGATCAGGGATATGTGCATGCTATGGTAAGCTTTGTGTGACATGACTGGCAATGTTATTTCTGGGACAGAAAGAACTTTAATGTCGGAGACACAGACGCTTCACAGAAGGTACCTGTCTTGTGAAGTTTGCACACTGCCTTATTCATGAACATCTTAAGAGTGACACCAGCTCAGCTTCAGCCAGCTATGACTTGAAAGACCATACTTTTGGAAAATAACATTATTTATGTTGCACATGAATAGGTACACTTTGTGTTTTAGTTTTGAAAGGCTTTTTCTGGTTATGCACCAACTGGAACATGGAGTATATGATATTCAAGCTACCATTATGCATAGTGGTTCAAAATATACCTTCAAAAATGTGGGACTTTCTTGTGAGCCCAACAGATGGTGTATTTATTCATCTGCTCCTAGGCTGAATGGAGAATACATGAAGACTGGAAACCTAAACCATGCACATATTTTAAACAAAGTCTGCAAAATGGACTATAACTGAAAAGAGGTGGCGAGGTGATGTAAATACAACAAAGCTGGAAAAAGTTACTTTTTTGAACTTTACTTCCAAGAATTCCTAGCCAGCATATTTTTCTTCAAAAAGGTAACTTTTTAAAGTTCTGGAATGCCACAATTTTACAAGAAACAACACAAAAGCTTTGAAAAAGTGAGTTATATGTAAAAGACTCAAATCTATCCGAATACATTTATCCACCAGATCTGGTTATACATTCAAAATCCTGGGTTTGAATGTCTATGTTAATTCACTGCCATTCTTATAATGATTCATGCATCTTCAAATCTATATTTATAACGGTTGGCTTTGTAGGGGTTTGCTAATGGCATGTCCTCTGCAGTGATAAAGCTATAGCTGTGGGGACAAAACAAAAGGAGTTCAGTGACAAATAGTTTTATTATAATTTGTCAAAGTGCCAAGGTTTAGCCTTGCTACAGGCAGACTGAGGCAGTTCCTTCAGGTAACAAATACTGAGGGGCAGTGTCAAGGTTTTGGAGAACATTTCTTAGTGTTATGTGTTTTGTTCTGTGCACTCTAAACTAGTCTGCTACCTTCACATTTAAGCTCAGAAGTGAGGAATTACAATTGACAGTTACTTATAACTAGTTGGTTTTTTTTTAAGGCAACTCTCCAAGTTCTACTTCAGGTACAGTGATGGACACTGTCAAATCATCTATGTTGAAGAAAGATTTGTGTGTGTATGTGTTCATTTATTTGTGCTTTCAAGATCCTCACTAACATCGTGCCTCTAGTCATTTAGTAGATTTTTTTTTAATCAAGAAATACTCAGATGTGGTTCTTTCCTCTGAAATTTAGCCTAGAGAAGCACCTGGTATTTATTGGTGGTCTCACATTCTGACAGCTTTGGTCAAATCAGAGGGCAACCAGAGACTGTTGCCAGTCCGTTCCAAGAGAGACGATCGCTGCCCGGGTCGGGGCAAACCAAAGGGAGGTGAGAGGGTACCTGACTCAACTGACCACCTCCTTTGCTCATCCAAGACCTCTGCAGGCTACGGGAACGCTCCGAAAAAGGGAAGTCTAAAAATCTACCCCCCAAGGAGGATCGGGCTTGAAGTGCTGACAACAGGAACCAGGCGAGTATAGTTTTGGGTTCCTAGTTTTGGGGGAGAGTGAAAGAAGTCTAGACTAGAGAGAGAAAGATGCGTCAGAAGGGTGGGAGAAGAAATTGTCTGTTTAGAAGTGCGAACAACTAAATAGAAACCACCCTCGAGAGAAAATGGGACAAAAAGGGAGCAAATGTGTTGACCCGTTAGAATGTATGCTTCAACATTTTTCCAAGTTCAGGCTCCTATCTCAAACACCAGGTTGTGACAGTGCTAACAGGTTAAGATTTCTATGTCAAATACAGTGGCCAAAATTCCCCTTAGATCTGAAGTGGCCCGAAGAGGGAACTCACGATATCAAAATAGTGTATCAGTGTCTTGAGCATGTTGCAACTCTATATCCGGATCAATATCCCTATATTGATTGCTGGGCTATTGCAATTGAGACCCAGCCCAAGTGGTTAGCAAAATGCTGTGCAAAAGCTGCCACCTGCATGCCAGTGATAGAAAATCCACATCGCCCAAGCAATAAGAAGTTAGTACTTCCTGATTCTAGTGAAGAGCAACCAGAGCCCTGTTTTCAACCACCTCCTTATGCTCCAGTCTACCCAGCTCTAAACCCAACACCAGCAGTTTCTCCAATAATAAGTCCAGGAGGCAGCTCTGCCACTACAAGCTCTAGCAGTCTGACTGAGAGACCTTCCTCTTCTACTGTAACTATAGAAAAGCCTTCCCCTTCAACTGTGTCAGTGTCAGAAGGGACTTTGATAGACCTGATTGACCTTGATGAAACTGTTGTTGGCCCAGTAAGGAGCCAGCCTGATGCTTCATCCCCAAGAGTGACTCGAAATATGGCTAAAGAGAAAGCAGCAAAAGAGGCAAATGCATTCCCTTTAAGACAGATTGTTCAATAGGCTCCAAGAGGCTACACTGAAAATGCCAATGAAGAACCTAATGAAATTATAGCACGCACTGCCTATCAACATGTCCCATTCACATCCTCAGACTTATTAAACTGGAAACAACACATGGGGCCCTATAATGAAAAACCTCAGGAGATGGCAGCTTTTGTAGAAGGGTTGATGCAATCACATGACCCCACATGGGGGGATTGTAAGCAATTGTTAAACGCTTTATTCACTGCTGAGGAAAGAAGAAGAATTTTGACTGATGCTATGGTCATAGCACAGCAGGGGCATGGAGCTGTAGATCCTATCTTGCATGCTCAGCAACAATTCCCGATAACTAAGGACCCTGAATGGAATCCAAATAATGAAATTCAGTATGCACAGCTTAAGAAATTTCAAAACATTTTGGTCCAGGCTATTAAGAAAGGACCACCAAAGGTAATAAATTTGAAGAAGTTGTACACAGTGGAGCAAAATAAAATTGAGTCCCCAAGTGCATTTCTTGAACGGCTGATTGATGCATATCGTAGATGGAGCCCCTATGATATGGATGAGGAGAGCGAAAAGAGCGCAGGCAAGCTGGCTCTCAAGCAATCTTTTATTGCACAAGTAGCACCTGATATTCGTAGGAAAATCCAAAAGTCCCCTGGTTTTGCTGAATTGTCCCTGAATAGGCTAATGGAGATAGCCACCCAGGCCGATGTGAATAGGGAAGAGCAAGAAGAGAGAAAAGATGAAGAGAAGCAGAAGAGAAAGGCAAAGATATTTCTGACAGCGATGGCAGAAACCCGAACAGGCCAGAGAGGAAGAGGAAGAGGCCGAGGGTACAGTAAAGGAAAAGGAAGGTTGGGAAGATTTCAATGTGCTCTCTGTGGGGAAACTGGACACTGGAAATCAGCATGTCCGTATGCAAAAGAGAACGGAAATCAAAATGATAGAGAGAACCGAGGGCCATGGAGAGGAGCCGCAAGAGGAAGAGCCAGAGGAAGAGGGGGACCAGGAAGAGTGAGAGTGGAAACTTCAGCATCAGGAGGACCAGCCTGTCAATACCAGCCAAATACAGAAGAAGACATGGATGCCTATTATGGGATGGCATGTATGCAAGACTGGGACTAGGATAGACCAGGTTCCCCACCCGCAGTTGAGACCCCTACTATTGTTACATCTGGGGAACCAAGGGTCTTAATGGATGTAGGGGGTCAACAAATACCTTTCCTAGTAGATACCGGAGCAGATCGCTCAGTTGTTCGTACCCCTATAGCCCCAACTACCAACCAGTGTGTGAAGGTTGTAACAGCTTCAGGTCATCGGAAAAGCCACCCTCTGCTGCAAGCAAGAGAATGCAACCTGGCTAAGCACCTTGTGACTCATCGTTTCTTGTACATGCCTGACTGCCCTATTCCACTGCTAGGAAGAGACTTACTGTGTAAATTGAGAGCTGTTTTGGCATTTGATGATGATGAGACCATGCAAATGTGGACCAGACCGAGGCAAGTGCAACTCATCTGCCCTCTACAGGAAGAATGGAGAATCTTCATGGTAGCTCAAATGGAATCTGAAGACTGGAGGAAGTACAATGTACCTGGGATATGGGCAGAAGATAACCCTCCTGGGTTGGCTCGAAATATCCCACCTATAGTAGTGCAAGTCAAACCAGGAGTAGGACCAGTTCGCATATCCCAGTATCCTGTAGCCAGGGAAGCAGTGGAAGGAATCAAGAAACATCTAGCAAGATTGCTTCATCATGGAATTCTAAGGGAGTGCCATTCACCTTGGAACTCACCTTTGTTACCTGTCCGTAAACCTGACTCAAATGATTATTGTTTGGTTCAGGATCTTCGTGCTGTCAACAAAGCAACAGTGGCCATACACCCAGTGGTACCTAATCCATATTCCCTGCTCAGCCTTATCCCACCAACAGCAGCATGGTTTTCAATCATTGACTTGAAAGATGCTTTTTTCTGCCTGCGCCTAGCGTCACAAAGCCAGCCCATCTTTGCGTTTGAGTGGGAGAGGCCAGGAACCAGAATCCTTACACAGCTTTGTTGGACAAGACTTCCCCAGGGTTACCATAACTCTCCAACGTTGTTTGGAGATGCCCTTTCGCATGACCTGCATGATTTTATTACTACTACATCTTCAAAATGGACAGTGTTACAGTATGTTGATGATATCTTGATTGCGGCAGCAAATGAAGCTACTTGCCAAGAAGGAACACTGCAGTTGCTACAGGTTCTGTATGAAAGAGGCTACAAAGTATCCAAGAAAAAAGCCCAACTCAGCAAGGAGAATGTGAAGTACCTAGGGTTCCGGATTTCTCAAGGGCAGAGACATTTGGAGATTGAACGAAAGACAGCGGTGTGTGCTATTCCTACCCCTACCTCTCGCCGACAGGTGAGAAAATTTTTGGGGTCAGCGAGTTTTTGTCGTCTTTGGATCCCAAGTTTTGCTGTGTTAGCAAAGCCTCTCCATCAAGCAACAAGAGGGAGTAATACAGAACCTTTTGAATGGACAGATGAGTGCGAACAGGCTTTCCGGAAAATTAAGAAAGCATTGCTAGAAGCACCTGCCCTAGGCCTTCGTGACCTTACCAAGCCTTTCACTCTGTATACGGGAGAATGACAGGGAGTGGCTGTAGGAGTCCTTACTCAGCTTCTAGGAACTTGGTCTAAGCCTGTTGCTTATTTGTCTAAACAACTGGACACAGTTGCCAAAGGATGGCCAGCCTGCCTATGAGCTGTAGCAGCAGCAGCAATGATGGCAGAGGAAGCTGCCAAGCTCACCCTGAATCAGCCACTTCAGCTTAAAACACCACATGCAGTTGTTACCTTGATGGAACACAAAGGTCATCATTGGTTCACAAATAGCCGAATGTTAAAATATGAAAGCCAATTGATTGACAACCCAATGGTCACTCTGTCAGTTTGTTCAACTTTGAATCCTGCCTCTCTACTTCCAGTGGATGAAACAACTCTTAATCAACACGACTGTCTTGAGACCATGGATGAAGTCTATTCCAGCAGACCGGACTTGAAAGATGTGCCATGGAAGAGTCCAGACGTCATCCTTTTCACAGATGGAAGCAGCTTCATGGAAGATGGACAGCGCAGAGCGGGTTATGCAGTTGTGACCTCTGAAGGAAAGATCTTAGAAGCAGAACCGCTACCTCCAGGGACTTCAGCCCAAAAAGCTGAACTCATAGCCTTGACCAGAGCTTTCAAGCTGTCTGAAGGAAGAACTGTCAATATCTACACTGATTCTAAATACGCCTTTACAACTTTACATGCACATGGGGCTGTATACAAAGAAAGAGGACTACTGACTTCTGCTGGCCAGCAGATTAAACATGCTCAGCAGATCCTGGACCTGTTGGATGCTGTATGGACTCCAAAGAAAGTTGCTGTTATGCACTGCAAAGGACATCAGTATGGAGAAGACCCTGTGGCTAGAGGGAACAGATTGGCTGATGAGACAGCCAAGGAAGCAGCTTGCCGGAAGATTACAACAGTGTGTACTTTGTCTACAGAATCAATGCTTCCTGCTACGGCTACCTACACAAAAGAAGAAGCATGGGCCATAGAAGAAGGGGCTACTTGGAATAATGGATTCCTCATGCTACCAAACCAGAAAGTTTTTGTTCCACGTGCTGTCGCCTGGGAACTCATTCATCAGCTACACCATCAAACTCACATTGGAGCCACTGGACTAAGCAGCCTGATAGGAAGACAGATGTATGTTAATGGACTTGATTCTATGACTCGGGCTGTAGCTTCCCAATGCCATACCTGTGCCAAGAACAATCCACGAGCAGGTCCTTTGCTGCCACCTGGGATACAATATACAGGAACAAATCCGTTTGAATCGTTAGTTGTGGATTTTACTGAGATGCCTCAATCAGGGCAATATAAATACCTGCTTGTATTTGTATGCACCCACACCGGCTGGCCAGAAGCCTACCCTACCAGAACTGAGAAGGCGTTGGAGGTTTCCAGAGCCCTAATGAGAGACATTATTCCTAGAAATGGAATTCCATTACACATTGGATCAGATAACGGACCTTCTTTTGTACATGAGATCATACAGAAGTTAGCCACTCTGATAGGTACACAATGGAAGCTACATTGTGCCTACAGGCCCCAGTCATCAGGGAAGGTAGAAAGAATGAACAGAACTTTGAAAGGAATAATAACTAAGATGTGCCAAGAGACCACTCTCACTTGGGTACAAGTTTTGCCAATGGCACTTTTAAGAGTACGCTGCACACCGACTAGGTTTTTAGGACTGTCCCCATATGAGCTCATGTTTGGAAGACCACCCTTAGGGCTGAAACACTTGAAAGGAGATGCATTGGAATTAGGGAGACAAGACCTAGTGAAAGAAGTTCAACTGTTAGGAACAACTTTAAATGCACTAGCAAAATACACTGCAGACCTGAGACCGCCTTTCCCCGTTACTGCCTTACATCCCTTTTCTCCAGGTGACTTGGTGTTATTGAAGGACTACCGGGTGGAGCCATTGGGTCCTAAGTGGAAAGGTCCATACCCAATACTGTTGACGACTCCAACTGCAGTGAAACTAGACGGTATTCGGGCCTGGATTCATTATACCAGGATCAAGCGAGCACCTCCAGACTGGTCGGTGTCCCCTGTAAACGGTGATCCACTCCGACTGCGGTTCAAAAAGATCCAGAATCAAAGACAACGTGATCAAGAGTAAATCAAAGACAACGTGATCAAGAGTAAACCAAAGACAACGTGATCAAGAGTATCCTCTCCTTGGGAGAGTTAAATATATGGCAGAAGAAACTTCTGTGACTCTAAATACTACAGTTGCCGTTAGTACACATTTAGGATTCCCAGCTTTAGAGATTCATTGGACATATGTACACCCTAATGCACAACACTATCTGAACAGGTGTAAACAGTGCACGCTAATAGCCACCCATCAAGAAGAAATAGAAGCCTGGAAAAATAGGGTGGGACCTCCTCCCAAGGCAGCATAAGAAGCCTTAATAGTTGATGATTGATTGCATGAAGTGATTTTTACATTATTTTTGAAAGTAGTATTAGAATTTTGTTGTTTAGAATATAGACATTTTCTTTGCCCTAGAATAGCCATGAGGTGGAACTTCAGATGCTACCTAACTCTTTGGGTAATGGTGGTAAATCAAGTCTTTGTTCAAGGGGGATGGCATGCCAACCTGTTCCATCGGTTGGTTGAAGCTATCTTTGCCTCTGGAAATGTCACAAATTGTTGGGTGTGTTCTCATGGCCCTTCTACTCACTCACAAGGATGGCCAATAGTTCCTGGCCCACTCTTGAATTGGTCAGGATGGAACTCTACAAAGGTATGGCCTATCATTCCAACTGGACAAGGGACAAAAGTCAAACCACTCTGACTCTAAGAAAACCCACTCCTATAGCCCCTCTATGCATTCATCGAAGTAATAAGAGTAAGTGGGGATATACGCAGGGACAGATTAAGACACAACCCCGAAGACGCATACATTTAGGACATTACCCCACCTGTGAGAAGATTGTAACTTTCTATGACGATAAGGTTTTGTGCATTAATCAAACTGAAAATGCAAATCTCTCTTCACCTTTGCAATGTAATGATGTAAATGGAGCAGGTGTAATTCGGTTATACAATAATTTGGTAGCTGAACAAGCCCTATGGAAGGTATATGAGTCAAGTACCTTACATAGTCCAACTGGTACGGGAGGATTGCCCCCGGGACTGTTTTGGATTTGTGGAAATTGGGCAGGAAAAATGTTACCTCCTGTATGGAATGGCACCTGTACATTGGGAAGCCTACTCCCGGCTGGGATAAGAGCATACCCCTTACACCAGCCAAAACATGCCTGGGAAAAGCAATGGGCATGGAACAGAAGGAAGAGAGAATACCAGGAGAAACTGGAGTATGATCCTGACAACACCTACCTGACCGAGGGAGAAAGATTTGGAGCAATATTTTTCCCATCAGTAGGAGTGGCTTTAAACATCAGGCAAATCAGAAGAATATCTGCTCAAATAGAACGCCTAGCCAACTCCTCAATCCACGGGTTGGTAATGCTCCAAAGAGAAGTAGATTCCCTAGCAGGGATGTTAATGCAGCATAAACTGGCCTTAGATTACCTGTTGACCAAGCAGGGGGGTCTTTGTGTGTGGCTCAATACAACGTGCTGTCATTATATCAACAAGTCAGGCCAGATTGAAGAAGATGTTGCCAAACTCCATAAGATTGTTGCTACAGTACAATCTACCTACTCCCCAGGTGAAAGTTGGTGGAGTTGGCTAACCTCATGGTTACCAGATTTCGGATGGTTAAAGGGATTATTCTTGGGTATTGTCCTGTTGATTATTGTATTTTTTATAATGGTGATGTGTTTTCCCATCATCATGAAGATGTGTTATAAGTTTACCACAAGTGCGGTTCCCACTTCGCGGCAACTTGTGGTGATTACAAGAATGCCAGGGTATCGTAAAAATGTTATAACTAGATATTGATCTTGCTTCAGCTTCTGTATGATCAGCTTTCGCAAAAAGAAAATGGAGGAGTGAAAGGGTTAACAGAACTTAGAAATGTTGAAATGTTGAAATGCAAACCTAAAGAGGGGTTTGTCCCTCTCCTCTGGCCTGCAGAAGACCAAAAGTCAAGAGGAGATAATGTATCTAGAAGACACAAGATGCTCTGTTGTCAACTACACCCAGGGAGAATCCAGGGTGGGTTAGTACGCCCAGGGGAGTACACAGGGTGGGTTAACACCCAAAATGCTTATCTGTAACAATAATGTGTGTGTTTACGTAGTTTGTAGAGGGTTATCAGTTAAAGACACTGAAGTGGCAAAATATGAGAAAAACATGTTTTTGAATGGTTGATCCGATAAGAGGGGTGTGTGCCCATGACACAGTGAAAAGACATGTATATAAGGAGACTGAAAGATCCAAATGGCTGGTCTGTCTTGGCTGTTTCTCCCTGTGTGGCCACACTTGAAATAAAGAGATTTTTGCTTCACCTACGGAGACTGCTTGCCTTCTGTCGCCAGCCTTGGGGTGCCTAACTAAAGGGGTACCCTTCAGTTTGTTTAATGAAATGGTGAGGGAGGTTAAATCACTGCCATTTTTGCAATGTAATTGAAACCACTGGAGGAGCAAGAATCCTTCTAAAAGCACACTGATTATTGTAGAGCTTCCTTTGCACAAGAACGCTATCTGGCACATATCAGCTCATCCTACTATCATTTTTAGGACATGTGTAGAATCACCCTCTCTCTTTCTTTTGTTCTTCCTCCTTCTTCCTCCTCTTCCTCTTTCTTCTCCTGTTCCCCTTCCTTGCTTTTATCTTCCTCACTTCTAATTCCTTCCAGTTCTCCCCTCAACTCCCTCCCCCCCCGCTCCTTCTCTTTCAGACCCTTCTCCTTTTCCCTCACATTGCTGGTGAGATCAGATAAAGTGCTACATGGAATTAGCAGCTCAGATAATAAACACTGCAAGTGAGTGTTTTATTGGCTCTGCATATGTTTCACTTCCAAGCAAGCTGCTGCTGAAATCTAACACTCAAGCTTGTGTTTTAAAAAGAATCAAAGCACTCTATTTTCTATGTATGTTTTTAGGTGTAACTGTCTTTATTTCCCATCAGCATTTCAAATTTTGCTTAAATAAAAGCTTTTATATTGAAAGATATAACAGTGCAGATACTGCATGGAAACAATGATTCAGAGCTCACCTTGACCAAACATGACACATGGGAGACCAACAACAAATACCAGGTGCTTTTGGTGCTGTTGGATACATTTCAGAGGAAGAGGGGGCGGGTTAAAAATAAAGTTTTATCTTATTATTATAGTTTTAGAATTGTCAAAACCACATCTGATGATTCCTTATCCAAGAAAACCCTATGAAATTCATGGGGCTGTTATAAGTTGGTAGCTGACCTAAAGGCGGACCTCATCACAATAGAGAATGAATCCACTTTTAAATCCAGTTGCTGCCTCCTGAAGAATTCTGATGTTTGTAGTTTAGGAAGAAGCCTTTAACAGCCTCACTAAACTGCAAACCCCAGAATTCTGCAGAAGGCAGAAACTGGATTTAAAGTGGATTCATTCTCTAGTGTGATGAGATATACACAGCACACATTTCGTGTATTATTGAAAGGATATGTGTCATCTGAAACTTCCAAGGCATTCTTTTATGAAGTGATATTTATTCACTGTTATCTTTATTACTGTTATCTTCCTCCCCAAGAGTTCAAGGCAGTTCACCTATGACTCTCTTCCTTCTATATTATCTTTTTGATAATGCAGGTCCAAGGGCAACTAGGCAGTTTCATGCAATTTAATCCCAAATCTCTGTCCACCACTTTATCTACCACAGTGCCTAGTACATTTATCATAATTACCATTCCTTGCCATGGTATAATTTTTTCAGTGAAGGGCAATTACTATTCTTTTTCCAAAGAACCATTAAGAACTCAGGGTGGTGGTGTGTTGAATTATAACTCTTGAGAGACCATGGTTCAGATTCTTTCTTAGCCATGGAAACTAACTGGGTGACCTAGGACAAGTCACACTCTCTTAGCCTAGGAGAAAGGCAAGAACAAACCTCCTCTGACTAAGAAATCTTGCCAAGAAAACCATAGAAGAATGTTCGCACAAGTCAGGGTTGACTTGAAGTTGTGCAACACAACAACCTATCACTTTGCCAGCACTGTCTACATTCATTCTATCCAGTCATGCATATTGTATATATACCTGAAAGTCCATTCTCCAGGAAATAAAGCCCGGCTGCTCATTGGAGGGAAGGATACTAGAGACAAAGTTGAAGTACTTTGGCCACATCATGAGGAGACAGGAAAGCCTAGAGAAGACAATTATGCTGGGGAAAGTGGAAGGCAAAAGGAAGAGGGGCCGACCAAGGGCAAGATGGATGGATGGCATCCTTGAAGTGACTGGACTGACCTTGAAGGAGCTGGGGGTGGTGACGGCCGACAGGGAGCTCTGGCATGGGCTGGTCCATGAGGTCACGAAGAGTCGGAGACGACTGAACGAATGAACAACAACAACAACCTGAAATTCTGGACAATACTTTATGCATCTGCTAAAATGAGCTATACTTTACAGAAGTTCATGCAAAATTAAATGAATTTATTTTTAATGTGCTCCAGGAGTTTTTGTTGCTTTCCCTTTAGGTTTGTTATCAGAGGCACGTGAACCTGCAAGACCAGAATAAGGAATTTCATGACTACTACAGCAGTAGTGAATCCCAGATCTACAATTAATATGATGATGATATTCCAGACTCTGAAATGTGAGATTGAGGCTAACCTCTCCAAGCTTCTTTCAAATGACTACTGAACTCTCGTACACAAATAACAATTGTCCCTCTATATTTCCTGTTTAGACTTTTGCAAAATTTGAATATTCACAGACGTTTTTAAAGTGTTCCCGATAGGACCTAGAGATTTCTAAGGAGATTGCCTTTATAGGAGTCATTTGGTCCTCCAGTGTGTTTCTATAGCCGGCTTTCAGTCAACCACAGAGTCATGCAGCAATGTCTAGAAATTTCTAGAGAAGTGTTCTCTCAGGGGAAATAATAGCGATTTCTTTATTTGTGCGTGTGTTTTTTACTTTCACAGGAGTCCTAATCCCAGCAAATGTGGAGGGCTGACTGTAGCTTCTTCTCAAGATCTTTCTGCACCCTTGCTGGACCACAGTAC